TTATCACCCATACTGGAGTGCGCTGGTGCCATCATAGCTGCCTCCAACTTTTGGCCTCAAACGATCCTCCCAACTCAGCCTCCAGAGTAGCTGGGGCTACAGGAGCCACCATGCTCAGGCCCTTTCTTATATAAGAAAGTACTTAAAATAAACACATTTAAATAGAGGACCCCCTGGCACAGAGGCAGGGACGGGGTGGGGCACTGCTCAGGCTGCAGGGAGGAGGTGATAGCGGGGGCTCAGCCAGGGCTAAGAGACGAGGGGTACCACCAGGGAGCCAGGCCCAGTGTGAGCCTTTGGGCAAAGGGCATCTCACCCAAAGCCACACTTCAGGGGCCCAAGACAGGCTTGGTCGGGAGGGCTTTCTGCTCAGCCAGGGCTGGGGCTAGGTGGCAGAGTCTGGAGGAGGCTGCCTGGGAGTCCTGGGCATGGTGCAGGGCAGGGAGGGGACCCACAGGAGGACTGCCAGGCCTAGGCCTAAGTGAGGTCAGCAGGGTCAGTGGGAAAAGGCGGTGGGAGGCACACATAATCCAGGCACCTATGGAGGAGGACAAGGGTACATGGGAGTGGGAGCCAGAGGGCTTCACAGCCAGGGCTGAGGACTCACAGGGGCCTCACATTGGGGCCAGAGTCTCAAGGCAGGATCACAGTTAGGCCAGGGCCTCACATCAGGGCAGTGTCTCACATTGGTTCCAGGGTCTCATAGCACAAACTCACAGTGAGGTGGGGTCTCAGTGGGCCTCCCTTCTGGCTGTGTCCCCCGAGCCCAGGTCACCTGGCTCCTCACTGCCAGTTGCTCTCTGGAGCTATGGAACTGTGGCCCTGTGACAGGACTGGGTGCCCAGTGCAGGCAGGCTGTGGGCTCCTTGGGTGTGAGCACTGCCTTCCCCCATAGCCAGGCCTGGACTGAGAGGGCCACCTCTGGGTGGGCAGGCCTGGGCCCACACTGCCACCTGCCATCATCCTACCAGCCTCACCCATCCCAGCACAATGGAATGGCCAATCCCACCCAAGGCCTTCACCCCTCACACCCCTGCTCACCCTGGTCTCAACATTGGGCCTGTAGGGCTGGATAAGCAGGCCCCTTCTCAGAAATGAGGGTCAGGGGTCTGCCCAGGTCTCTCCTTCCCACCTCTGGACCCTCCCTGGGCAACCAGACCAGGCAGGTGGCCTTCCCCTGCACAAGGGATGTGGGTGGGGTGCCCAGTCAGTGCTCACTTGCCAAGTAGGGATCCTTGGGGCACGGGACTCTGGTGCTCGGCAGGCTTCTCCCCTCCCTGAGCGCCTGGCGGGCACTGGGCTGTCCTTAGCCCAGTGTGGGCTCACAGCCCCTCCCCCAGCCCTGCCTGCCTATGATGCCCTTTTGTAAGGGATAGTCCTACCATTTGGAGGGGGCTATAGCACTCGCCCACCCTCAGACCCCAGCACCACAGGCCGCAGACAGGTGACTTCTCTCCACCTTCCACCATGTCCCTCCTTGTCCCCACCTGTTGCCCAGGTCCTCGGTGGTCAGCCCTAAGTGTGCCCAGGCTAGACTCCTGCTGGACACCCTGGTCAGGAGGGAGGTGCATAGCCCAGACCCCAGAACCCAAGCCCCAGGCCTGAAGTCCCTTCTCCATGCCTTTGCCCCCACAACTCGATGGGGGCCTTGTAGTCATGGCTGTGGGGATTCCAGACCCCTTGTGATGTGGGTGCTGGCCAGCTTCCTGTGCCCAGTCCCCTCCCCCATGTCACTCGGTGGGATCCCAGGGATCCCTGGGCTCTTAGAAGGGTGTTCAGTCCTTACATGGTCCTCAGGGCCTTCCTGTGCCAATGGCCACCTCACAGTTGGACTTCCTCTCACACCTGCACATGTGGACACATGCCATACATACTACATGACATGTATACATCATGTACACTCCCCACACACACATGCTGTGCATACTCCCACATGCACACATACCATGTATACTCTCACAAACACACCATGTATACCATCCCCCACTCACTCTGCATACTCCCACATGCATGCACATACACTGTAGGTGTTCACATGCACATTCACACACTATGGACACTCCCACATGCACACACCATGCATATTCCCACCTGCATACACACCATGCATACTCCCACACACTGCATACTACCACGCACATCATGCATACTCCTCTCCCATGCCATGTATACTTATACACTGTGCATGCTCACACATGCATATGCATGCCACGAATACTCCCACCTGCACACACACTGTACATACACCACGCATACTCCCACATGTACATCCTGTACATAACTCTGTCAGTGCACACACACAGATACTCTCAGAACTGTAGGCTCTCAACTGATGCAACCTCAACCACACCATGTGCCTCCCTCAGGGAAGGCCCATAGGTCCAGGAGGGCCAGGGACTCTCACTGAGGCCCAAGGTCTGCCCCCATCATGGTTTTCCCTCATGTCCAGCTGCAGCTCCCATGCTGACCAGGACCCCAGAGCCTTGGAGCAGTGGCACAGCACCCAGGGCAGTTAGGGGACACTCAGGAACACAGGAAGCGGTATGAGCCTGAGGGCGCCCAGCTCCTCTCAGGGCTACCCAGAGGTGCCAGTGGCTGGGCCACTGCAGCCACAGCAACATTCACGCTGGTACCCCCTGGCACCTCCCGCACTGTGGAGCTCTCTTCTACCAGGCTGCATCTCTTCAGCTGCCTGGAATCTCACCTTTGCCCTTTGGGGCCCTCCCCAGGGAACCCTCAGCAGGCATAGGCCAGCCAGGCCTGGAAGTGAGGAGTTGTTCCTCCCTCAGAGATAGTGGGCCTCGCTGGCCCAGGGGATGACTGGGACCTGGGCCAATCTAGGAAGGAGTGAGTCATCGCCACGGCCAGGCAGCCCCCTGGGCCGGCCCAGAGCTGAGCCATCCAAAAGTAAAGTCCCTGGGGTGCATGGAGGGAAGAAGCTGTCCTACCTTCCCCTCAGTTCCCACAGGGTCCACACCTCTGCCTCTGCCTCCTCAACTCTGTCCTTCAGTGCCCACTTGCCCTCCCCACCAACCAGTGGTCCGGGAGCTGTCATCCAGGCTAGAAATTGGAGCACATGGCTAGCCTCCCTTGTAGCAGCCCTGGGTTCTCCTGTGTCCTGCGGGCCCTCCTGGCTCAGCCTCCCCACCAACATTGTACCCTTTTATACCAGAACTCCCTCCTTGTACCAAAGGCCTGCCTTACCACCCCAGAAAACCTCCACCTAGCTTTTCATGGCACCTGCAGGTGCTGGGGTCTGTGGCACTCTGGGGACTTCAGATGGCCCAAGGCTGAGCAGCGCCCTTTGGGCAGTGAGTGCCACATGGGAGGGCAGACAGGTCTCTCATTCAAGCCCAGCCCAGCCCCGAGTCCTCCTAAAGATGGAAGGATGGGCCTGGTCCTGGCAGCCCTTCCTGCCTGGAACACACTGCAGCTGGTGGCCCTACTTCAGCCTGAGGGACTCCAGCTGCCGGTGGAGGTACTGAACACAGCCCCTCCCACCCACCAGCCATCCCTGAGCAGCCCCCAGGACCCCTAGACTTCTGTGTCCTGCTCCCCACTACTCCCAGGTCTGGTCCCCCCAGAAGAGCCAGTGGTCAGCCCTTGCCCATGAAGGTGGCCAGCTACCATGGAGGCTACCCACCTTCAGTGCAGAGGTATGGTAGGTTCCCCTGCCAGGCATGGTCATGTCCTCCTGGACTGCTCCCCTGCGATCCCTCCCTCTCCACGTCCCTCAAGGCCAGAGGAACGCTGGTGAGGCTGTCTCCAGACCCATCTCAGGACCACCAACACCTGGTCCCTGCCTCAGCGGACCCCTACCTTCTCCAGGCCAGGAAATTCCAGTCTCCTTCTGGGACCTTCCACCTGCAGGGACGCCAGTCCTCCCAGAGAGTATGTGGCTGGGTCAGGGCCACCTCTCGCCACCAAGCACAATGGGGGGTGGAGGAGGGGTGCTCAAGGGCCCCATTGTTCCCCCCTGGGCCTTGGAGCCTGAATCCCCGATTGTCCTGGGTGGGGGAGCTGTGGGGCTTCCAAGCCACAGCAGATCAGGCCAACCCCTCCCAAGGAGGCTCTAGCCCACCTACCCTTGGAGGGCCCTCTCCTCCGTCCAGGCCTCTCCTCTGTTCAGACCGGCTCTGGCCTGCGTCCTCCAGTACATTTGGGCTTTTGGCTGAAGCCCAGAACTCTGCACTGTCCCTGATGTTTCCGCCTGTGCTCCACATCCCAGTCTGGATCCTGCCCCAGAAGCACCTCACCTGGGCTAACCTGGGGGCTGAACTTGGGGGGAGTGTAGGGAGACACTTGGGGAAGGGGGCTGAGCAGCCTCCCTGTGACAAATAGAATGCAGCCCCCTCAGAGACCCCACACTCCAGACCTCAGAGGTCTGGACCCTCCAGAGGCCCCCCACCAGGTCTTCGCCAGCCTCTCCTGGGGCCCAGGCCTGCTGGGCACAGTGGGCTGTGTGCTAGGCTGACAGGAACGCCCACAGGCCCTGTGCTGCCCTTGCTGTCTGGCACCCTCTTCCAGGACCAACTTAGGGTGATGGCATGGGCTCTCCCAGGTGGACCTGGCCCCTCCCCTCTCCAGCCCACCAGGTGGGTCAGGTCAGGCCCTGTGCCTTCCTCCCTCTCACCATGCCCATCCAGCGTGACACTGACCAGCTCCAGAGCAGATGCCTAGCAGAGGCCACCTCAGCCCTCTTTGGGACTGGCAGTTGGGGGGAGGGCATACTCCACTCTCTTGGGCCACACTCTCCTCTCTTGTGGATGCCCTAATCTGACAGTTACTTTATTAAGACATCAGCCCAGCTCCAGTGGGGGGGTGGGGGGTGGGGGGGACAAGGATGGGGACAGAACACAGCCGGGAAGGGTGGGGATGCCCTGGGGTCCTCCACCATGGGAGGCCAGGGAGGGGGGCGGCATCCCTCCACCTCAGGAACTGGCCAAGGGCACAGAGCTGCTGTGGGGCCAGCCAAGGGGACAGCTCTGCACGCCTGTCCTGGTCCCGCATGGTTCCTGGGTACCCTAGCAGGCAGCTCCTGGGGCCAGGAGGGACTGCACTGAGGGCACAGGGCAGTGACAGTGGGCCTCTTCAAGCATGGCCGACCCCTTGAGCTTTCTTGATTTCCTGCCAGGGAGGAGAAGGAAACGAGTCAGAAGACTGGGACTCAGGAAGGCAGGACCTCCATTCCTCACAGCAGTCCCGCCCCATCCAAACCTCAGTGGCATGGACAGCAAAGCCTGAGCCCCCCAAGCCTCCCGATCTGGCACAAGCATCAGGGCCCTTACAGAGGGATGCACAGGCAGGACAGGACAGGTAGGGACAGGGCAGGCAGGGATGAGGCACGTAGGGATGACACCCAGGGCTGGAGCATGGCCAGGGATAGGCCCACCTCGGAGAGTGCCTCCTTGAGCTCCTCATAGGCCTTGTCCAGGATGTCGTTGATGATGATCACGTCAAACAGGCCAGGCTCCTTGCCTGGGGACCAGGTCAGGAACAGTAAGCCTGCCTGGCCAACCTCAGACCACACCCAACACTGGGCGCCACCCTCTAGGTTGCAGTGGCCTTCTGGCACTGGGGTCAGCCTTCCTTCCATGTGCCACATGAGGCCCGTCCTAGGAAGGGTGGTCCAGGACTCACCCAGCCCCTCCCCTGCTCTCCCAGGACTCCCAGCCAGGCCAGGCCAGTGGAGGCCCTGGCTCTCTGTATCTGGACAGTGCCGGCCAGAAGGTCCCTATGCCTCTTCGGGAGAAGAACTTGCAAACCCCCTTCTCCTGGGCCAGATCAGACCCATCAGACCGGGGAACAAAAGCCCAGATGAGAACAGCCATGACCGGAGCCCACGGCGTCCCCAAGGTGAGGAAGAGGGCTCTGGTGCCCCTGGCCGGACTCACTGCTCTCCATGTCTGCCTGGGCGGCTGCCAGCCGCTTGACCAAGCTCTCCTCAGTCTCGGTGTTGCGCTGCCGCAATCGCTGCTCCTGTGAGCCAGGCTTCAGTAAGCCAGGGAGGCAAGTCATGCCCTCCTTGAGACCTCCCCTCCTCCCCTCCTCATGAAGCCTCATCCCACAGGGCCCCCACACCTACCAGCACATCCAGCGAGGGTGGCTGCACAGAGATGTAGATGGGCCGCAGGTCAGTTGCCTTGATGTTGCGCACGCCCTGCAGGTCCACATCTAGTATGCAGATGCGGTTCATGGCCTGCACCGCCCGCACCGCCTCCTTGCTGGGGACGGAAGGACTCACTCAGACACTCTTCCCACCCCCTCTGGGCTACAACACCTCTGCAGCAAGGCTGGAGGGTGAGGAAGGGGGGGTCACCCTGCACAGCGAGCCCAACCAAAACCCACCAGCCAAAGCGTCCCTGCACTGCTCACCCCACTAGGACAGCACAGGGGCAGGACCAGCCACCAGCCCCGGGTGGCTCAGTGGTCTCCAAAGGTGGAGCCCGTTGATGTGTAAGCCAAGGCCCAGGCCGTGGACTCATCACCACTCACGCACACCAGGGTAAAGCCTGAAGAAACCCTATCCACAGCAACCCTGGGGAGCTTAAGTGTGGCCCACCTGGTGCCATAAAGGTTTCCAGAGAATTCGGCATGCTCGATGAAGTCACCGGCAGCGATATCCCGTTGCATCACCTCTCTGGTCACAAAGTAGTAATCTGGGAAGGAGGGGGGCTCTCCAGAGGGTGCTGCAACCATGGGCCAGCTCGCTGCACCCATTCCACACCCAAGGCTGCTCTGGCCAACACTTGGGCAGGAGGCATCTGAGAAGCACTAAGGCAAGCTGAGGCAGAGAGGCTTACCCCTCACTGACAGGGGTACTGAGATTGCTGTTGCCAGGAGGCTGGTGGGGGGCAGGGGGCAACCCTGTCTCCTAGGACCCCAGGACAGGGCTGTGGTCAGCAGCCCTGAGCTGCCTGCACTGTAGAAACACAACCCCAGGCTGAATCCTGCATACCCTCTTCTTCCCCTGGAGCAGGTCACTGCCACCCCGGGAGATGGGACCCTCTGACAGGCAGGAGGCCCAGCCCTGTCGTGCTGAGGACATAGCTGGGGACAGGAGAGGCAGGGGTGGGACGCATGGACTGAGCCCTACACTGCCCCACAGACCTGGGCTGGCTCACCTCTGCCATTCTCCTCACCAGGCCGCGGATCCCTCGTGGTATCTGGGGAGAAGACCTATCAGCCAATGGGGATGCCGAGCTGCTACCCCAGTCAGGCACTCCCAACAGACATGCCACATGGACCTGAGCAGGCAGTCAGAACCACACTGCCAAAGGCACACTTGGGAACCGGAGGAGTGCCAGTGCTGCCCAAAGAGGAGCCTCGAGGCCCCAAGCTGTCAGTGTAGACACAGACCCCCCAACCCAGTGGTAGAAGAGAATCACAGGTTCCAGGAACAGACAGGGCTGCGACAGTCCCCAGTAGTGTGTGGGGGGTAGGGGAACCAGGAGGAGACACAGGGCTTGGACAGTCCCCAGGCTGTATGTGTGTGAAAGGGACCAGGAATGGACACAGGGCTGAGACAGTGTCCAGACTGTGTATGTGGGAAGGACCAAGAATGAACACAGGGCTGGGACAGTCCCCAGGTTGTGTGGGGTGGTACCAGGAGTGGACACAGGGCCGGGATAGTTCCCAGGCTTTGTGTGTGGTTGGCTCCAGGAGTGGACATGGTCTTGACAGCCCCCAGGATGTGTGTGGTGACTCCAGGAGTGGACACAGGGCTGGGACAGACTCTGCTCCCTGTGGCCTTGCACTCACGGGACACGCTGAACCCAAAGATGGCGCCGTGCTCATGCAGCAGCTTCTTGAGCAGGGTGCTCTTCCCAGCCCCTGAAGGCCCACTCAGCACCACGGGCCTAGGTCCTGACATGCCTGTGGCAAGGGAGACAGATAGTACAAACATCAGCGTCCAAGGGTCCTGCCCCACAACCAGCTGGATGGGGTGGGGCGAGGGGAAGAGGAAGGGATTGTAGCGCTCCAGGTCTCTGGGCTTCTGAATTCACTTCAGGGGTAGGCTGAGGGAGAAAACACCAAACAGCATGTCCCCTAGATCCTACTGTCCTCCCCAGGCCTGTTACCTGGTAGGACATACCTTCACAGACAGCACTGCCCACCCATGGAAGACACAGGAGGCTCTGCCGGGAGCCCCCACCAAGTTCACCACCACCTGTCCTGCCAGCCTCCATGGGCCCTGCCCAAAGGCTGTCCACTGCTGTCTATTCTGACCACAACCCACACAGGGGTCACTGCCAAGGCCCCCCAGGATCCCACCCCATCCACACAGGAGCCCAGCCACTGGCTCCTATGAGTGGTACTGCCTGCTATGCTGGTGAGTCTGGGATGGAGGTTTCCCTGTTGCTGTCTCTGTGTCCCTAAGCCCATTCCTGGAACTTCCCATCAGACATGGGACCCCATCTGTGGTGCTGGTAATGCCAGCAGGGGTTGGAGGTCACCCAGCAGCCCTCACACAGAAGGTACACTGGCTCCAAGCTCTGACCGCAACACAGGTCTGAGCGGCAAGAGGCCAGAGAGAGCTAGACGAGGTCAGGGATCAACCCAGCTGAGCCTGACCCCAGAGGCTCAGCCCCAATGCGATCCATTCCTGAGCTTCCGTCCCCAGGACCTGAACTTCCTTCCACAAGGCTCTGCCAGCAGTGGCCAGGGAATTTCCGGTGGAGGTCCAGGAGCCTGCAGCCCACCCCAGCAACTGGCTCCCCCAGCAGGGTCCTCCCACAACCCCTCTCCTCCCTGGGGACCCGGCTACCTGCTGACTGGGTGCAGTGTCTGTGACCTGCCCTGGCGGGTCTGCGCTCTGGACTAGAGGGCTGGGGCTGAGTGTCTAATCCCCGCTAGGCGCTCCCACCCAGCCCAGTTGGGTGACAAATCTCCGGAGCCCCGCCCTGCCCTGGAGGAAGCCAGCCACGCCCACCACTGCCGGTGGGGAGGAAGAGGCTGTGCTGCCCTTGAGGTGTGCCTGCCCTGCTTGCCCAGCCCACAAGTGCAGGCGGCGCACAGCCGGTGGCTCGCTGGGGGGTCGAGCGGGGAGCTGCAAGGGCAGGGCACACATGCATCTGTGTAGAGGCCAGCAGAGGGGTGGGGTGGGGCTCCCTGGGCTCCACAGGGGTGGGCTGGACGATTTCTGCTGCCAGGGGCGCCCACAGCGCAGGAGGAGGACCTGAGGTTGCCTTCATAATCCCCAATTTAGGCCACTGAGGTAATCCCACAGAAGCATTGGCAGTGCCACGCCACACGCTCAGGCACGTGCCAACACCCAGATAGGCAGGTGTGTGGGCTAGGATGAATGCGCACACGCCAGACACACATGCCTATGTGTGTGAGCACACATGACACGGATGGAAACAGCCATGGGCCCCTGCTAAAAAGCGTGGAAGGGGGTTGGGGGTGGACACCCCCTCTGTAAGCAACAACTCCTGCCCTGCCTGCCTCCTCCAGGCTCCCCTCACAAGGAGGCATCCTCACTAAATACCCCAGCCCCACCTCTGGGACACTCAGGGGTCTCAAGGATCCCCCCCCACACTGCACCAGGGCACTGAGGGAAGACCTCCCAACCCGTCTCAGCACAGCGTATCCACAGTGAGCCAGGCACCTGGGCACCCGTCTGGAGCAGGATGGGGTAAACAGCAGCCTCACCCCACCTAACCTGTTAGGTTAAATGTGCAGTTCTTGGGACACATCACACACTTCCTGTCTGCCTCCTTAAAGCACTGAAATCACAGAAACCAAGACACGAAGATGTGATAACCACTGGAATTGGAGAAAGTCACAGCAAGGCTGAGCTGGGGGGCCCAGCTGGACAGCTTAATGAGATGACAGAGGCTGTACCCCATGTGAGCCTCTGTTCCACAACTCCCTTAAACTGGCCCATCTTTGGCTACCCAGGCCAGTACCAATCAGGCCTCCAGCCTCAGCCCCTCCTTGGCATCTGGCCTCTGTGAGGATCAGACCGCGAGTCCATCCCCCTTCGAACTTGTCTGTAGAGAATCCCTCAGTCTCTAGGTTCTAGGCCCTGGAGAAAAGCTGGCCCATGCTGGGTCCTGCACAAAGCCTATCCCCAGCCCCCAAATCCAGCAGGACCACAGCTGTCCTCCTATGAACACTGTCATAATGCTTCCCCTCTGCTCTGTCCACTGCTGCTTCCCCCTGCCCCCGCCCCCCACACATAATCAAGAACTGGAGCTCAGGTGACCTCAGAGGGAGGGAGGCAGGGTCATCCACCCCACTCCTCAGAAGGAGACCAGGGCACCAAAGGCTGCAGTCACCGAGCCCTGCTACCTGTTGGAAGTAGAGGCCCCCAGCCCCAAACTCAGGTCCCTGTTCCCTGGTGTAGGGACAAGGACTAACCCAGAAACCCCCAAACCATGGAGAGCCCCAGAGAGCTGTGGTCAGTGCCCCGTAGGGTGGGAGACCTGGTACCTGACCCAGAACAGGCTCTCAGTGGTTCTGATGAGCACATGGGTCTGAGGACCACCCAAGCTTGGCACTATCAGCAGTCAGACCACTTAGGTGACTAAGTTGAGCCCAAAAGTTCTCTCTTAGCCAGATATGGCTACTTGGGAGGCCGAGGTAGGAGGAAGGCTTGAGTCCAGAAGTTTGATGCAGTAGTGAACCACGATAATGTCACAGCCTGGCCACAGAAACCTTGTTTCTAAAAACAAACAAACAAAAACAAAGCATTCTCCCTAGGGGTACAAGGCCAGGATGGAGATATCCCAGGAAGAGGCTGGGAAGGGGCTTCAGGACCTGGCAATGCAGCTGTCTGTTGGCTCTTCCCCACCAGGTGCCCACCTGCCAGTGCCCCTCCCTGGCACACTCCACCCACAGGGGTTCCTGGCAGTCCCTGACCAGCCTCCAGCTGTAAACACACCAGCAGGACCCACTGGATTCCTCTCCCACACTGCCTCCAAACTTACCTAGTGCAGATTGGCCAACACCAACACGATGCCCCAGGTGGTCCTGCCCTGTTCCCCAGACCCCTGGCTCTAACATCTCATAATCCAAACACAGACATGTGACTACAAAACCACTCAGAAAGCACACCTTCAGTCATGACCAAACTCCACATGCTGTGACAAACAGGAGCTTCAATACCTGACACCTGTCCTCAGGAGACAGGATAGCGCTCTTACCATATCACCCCCAGACCCTGGTCTCCATATCTCCTCCACCCCACACTCACCCTGGCTCCTGGAACCAGGGAACCTACCCCTGCCCTCCTCCACAGGAAATAATAGAAGCAAGTGCTGACCAAACTCAGTAACTGAGACACCAGCCACCCTCACTCCCCACACCCAGGCCCCTCCCATCGGCGACTTCCTCCTGCCCTTCTGGAGGCTAAGTGGCAGGGCAAGGTGGGCCATGCCTGGGAAGATGCAGCTGAGCCTGCTCCTGCAGGGGTCCAGGGCATTCAAGCATGGCATCTGGGACAGGCTTGTGGAGCATAGGGCACTCTCAGGGGGGATGCTCTGTTCTCCCTAAGTCCCTGAGGGGGGCTCTGCCCAAGGGCCCCTGGGCAGACTACAAGTTGGTGTGAGATGCTGGCCCTGTAGGGTTGCCTGCCTGGGAGGGAGCAAAGACAGGATAGTCACCAAAGTCCCCTTCGTGGAGCACATCCATGGTCCCACAGGCCTCACATGGGATAAAACGCCACACCTGACTTTAGCCTTGACCAGGACACACAGGCCAGGTGTGTTCCTGGGGTTCAGCAGCCCTGGCCCACACCCCACTCCCCATCTTGAGAAAGGCCTGCTGAGTGGCAGCGTCCACAGTTGCTTCCTCATAAGTATCCTGGACCCAGTGCAAACCCAGCTTCCCAAGGCTCCCAGCCCGACGCTCCCTGCATTGGGTCCCCAAGTCACAGGGAGCTACCTTCCTTGAAAAGCACTTCCCCTATGAAGATAGAATCTCCTCCTTCTGGTCACCACCCACTGTTCAGGCCTGGCCTGAGAATTGGAGAGCCACCACCCATCCTTCCTTTCTCCAGGACACACTCACCAACAGGGCATGACCCTTCTGAGGACAAGGGGAAGTCAGCCCCTCCTACCCTCTGATGAGACTGGGGCTAGCCCCAGTGGAGGGCAGGAGAGCCACCCCACTCCTGCAGGTGCTTGGGCACATGTGGGGTAGGACATGTCCTAGCCATGTGACCCTGAGACCTTCAGGAACCTTGTTTTAAATGGAGCAACACGGGGAACAGCCAGGGCATTTTTGTTTCCACATACTCTCCCCACAAGGGGACAGGAACGTTTCTTTGCCTCCTGAGAAAGCCAGGCCTTGGCAGAGTGGATGAGGAGCCCCAAGGAGAAAGACCAACAGCCAAATCTTGCACAGGGTCCTCACCACCAACCCAGACCAAGGGCAGAGCCCAAGGAATAGGCCCAGGACTCCCCAGGACCAACCAGCCTATGCCACACAGGGGGGCCCAACACAGGAACGGTCAGAACTGACTTAAAGGCGCCTACCCCTACATCAATCCTTCCTGGGACACACCCTTCCCTACTCCCTGTCCCTCCTTGGGGGCTGGGTTCACCCTTTACAACTCTCCTTCCTGCCCCTTCTCAGATCTCCTTACACGTTTCTTCCCACAACGCCCATGTGGAAACTCAGGATGGGAGTGTGGGTGCAGCTGCAAAAGTACACTGTGCTCACATTCACAACTCCTGGAATCTGCTGCTCCAGTCGAAGACCAGGTGCTGATCCAATGAGTCCCCGGAACCTAAATGAAAGCCAGGCCAACTCCTCCAGTGGCCAGCCCTTACCTGTCTTCCACCCTGTCCTTTTCCCCTCAGGAAGGCTCCCATAGTGGTCACTCACTCAGTGACAATATGAACATGCCCTGGATATGGCCCCTAGTAG